AGACTGACAGGGCTATGTAACAGACAGAGTGCCCACACGGCAGGGTCAGCGCCTGCGCCGGCCGCCCGCTCCCTGCCCGGGCCGGCACACGTGGGGGACACAAGCCTCCCGCCACCCACCTGGGTGCCACACCGCCGAGGCGGAGCCCGGAGACCCGCCTCCACCGCACCCGCCCAGCAGACCGGCGCCTCTGCAAAGGCCAGGAGCCAGACCCTCCTCGGCTGCCCCAGCCAGCGCTAAACAACCAAATGCCCCCAGCCTATCCCAGGCCCCAGAAGCGGGGGTGTAGAGGGGGGCCCCACTGTCCCCACGATGCCTAGCGCCAGCCGCCAGCAGGACACCCCAGCCCCCAACGCGCCCACCATCTGCCGCTCTCTGCTGACCCCCTGTGGTGGCTGCGGGAAGTGCTGGCACCTCCGGGCAGACCCCGACGCCCACAGCCCAGACCAAGGCCAGGGTGCTACGGTGCCCACAGCCTGCACACCTGCCCTCGAGCCCCTGTCCACGCAGCAGGGCGGGGCCCTCAGGGCTTGGGTCCAGGTGAGGTCCCTCCCCACGGAAGCCCGCCTTGCCGGCGCTCTGATCCGCAGCCCCGAGGAGGGGCCGAGCCTGTCACAGCCTCGGGGCCCCGGGGAGGCTCCTCAATGGAGCAGGGACAGCAGGGCGGGTGGGGCTGTCCCTTGTCCCCATACTCCAAAGCCCCCCACGGGCCCCGGGACTGGCTCAGGGCCAGGGCAGGCCGTCCCCACCCCCTGCAAGCTCCCGAACCCCCACACCGCGCCCTGAGGGGCCAGGCCACAGCCCCCAAGGAGGCACCCAGGGAGGAGCTCTGTGCCACAGGGGCTGCTGCGCAGCCTGGGCGTCCGGCCTCCCCGCGTCCTCCACCTCTCCCCGTGTGGGGCCCTGGGGCCAGGCCTCAGCCCGGCCGCAGCGAGCCCCAACAACAGGGGACACACAGGGGGGTCAGCCAAGGGACGCGGACCCTGCAGAGACCCCTGCAGGGTGGAGCCTGGGCCGTGCAGGGTCTGAGCCCTCCAGGGCTGGCAGACCTGTCACCCCCGTCACCCCCGCCGCCTGCTCCCTACAGCTCGCCTCTCAGCTCGAAGCAGCCTCTCCAGAGGGGACAGCTGTCCAGGGAGCGCAGCCCAGGGTGGTTCTGCCAGCACCTTGGGGGCCGCGGCCCCGGCTGGGATGCGCCCTCCGCCCAGTCACGCCAGCTCCAAGGAGGCCCTTGTGGGAGACCCGCGCCCCCGACACCCGCAATCGCGTCACGCCGCAGCTCCCTCCTGGAGCCACCTGGGTCACGGCTGTGCTCCAGCATGCCCGACGGCAGAGCCTAAGCCACAGCAGCCCCAACCACCGACCAGGCGCTCCGCAGCGAGGACACGGTGCCCCCAGCTGCCCAGGGACGGGGGCCGCAGTGACTGTGGGCTGCTCAGGGACCCGCCCTGCTCCGTGGTGACACCTGCTTCCCTGGGCCACGGGAACAGCAGGGCTGCGCTGCGGCCACCCAGCCGGCTGGCGGCCCCCACCGCACCCCAGGGACGGGGCAGAACGGCCCCAAGGAGGCAGAGGAGCCGGCCTACCACAGATGTGCCGGCACCCGCAGGGCCCACGCCGAGCCACCAAACCCCTCGGCACACGCTGCGGTGGACCCCAAGACCCCCAGCTCTTTTCCTTGGCACCTGGAGCCCACAGCCCCTGGGGTGGAGGGCACAGGCTGTGCCCAGCTCCAGCAGCTCCTCCTCTGGGCAGGGCATCAGGGCCGACTCCCGCAAAGCCAGGCGAGGCTGTGGCCGGCCCCACGCCTCACGGCCTGTGGGCTGCACGGGGCTCACCCACCAGCGCCCAGCCCTGCTGCGCCGACCCCGGGGTACCAAGAACAGGGTCCCAGCCGTGCGACGGGGGAGGGAGAGGCGCACCCACACCCCCCTCCCTTCCCAAAGCGACCGCCTGGGCCCCAACTCCCAGCAGAAGCTAACAGAGCATGGGTCCAGCAGGGAGCCCCACCGAGGCAGGGTGGGGGGACACCACGGCCCGTCCCCAGTGCCCCTCACAACAGGGAGGAGGCAGGCACGGCTGCCGTCCCACTTCCCTCCACAGCACCCGGGACCGGGGAGCGGTGCCAGGCCTTCCACCACCGCTGCTGGGGCCCTGCACCTCCACCCACAGGGAGCTGGGGCCGCGCACAAGGACCTCACCCCCGCAGGTGCAGGGGGTGCAGGGGGCCCTGCACTTCTACCCACAGGGAGCTGGGGCCACGCACAAGGACCTCACCCCCGCAGGTGCAGGGGGTGCAGGGGGCCCTGCACCTCCACCCACAGGGAGCTGGGGCCTCGCACAAGGACCTCACCCCCGCAGGTGCAGGGGGTGCAGGGTGTGCAGAGGGCCCTGCACCTCCACCCACAGGGAGCTGGGGCCACCCACAAGGACCCCACGCCCGCAGGTGCAGGGAGTGCAGGGGGACCTGCACCTCCACCCACAGGGAGCTGGGGCCACCCACAAGGACCCCACCCCCGCAGGTGCAGCGGCGGTGGAGGACAGGACAGAGCAGGCAGGCAGAAGGCGGCCGGTGAGCGGGGCCCTGAGCGCGAGCCTGGGGACGGCAGGACCCCCCGCCCCCCAGGAGGCCGCCGGCAGGGCCAGGACTCACTGGCGTGCTTGTCGGCCAGGGCGATGAGGGTGCTGGAGATGTCCCGCCGCCGGTAGAAGCACACCACCTTGGCCTCCACGTTCCCGTTGGCCGTCTGCAACAGCAAGGCACGCCTCTGAGCAGCCCGCGCCGGCACGCAGCGCCCAGGGCTCCGGACGGGCCCTGCTGCCCATGCCCCGGCCCCACCTGCGGGCCTCGGGAGTGACCGCGTCCCCTCTCGGGCTCCAGCAACGGGCACGTCAGGAAGGGAGCCGGCGCCAGCACACGGCACAGCCTGCGTGGGCTGGGAGGATGCCAGGAAGGGGCCCGCACGGGACCTCACCCACCTCCCACCCTCCCTCTCCCCGCAACCCCTGGGCCCTCTAGGCACCACCTGAGAACCCCGGAGGACGCGCCCCACCAGGAAGCGGCCCCGCCAGGCTGGCACGGCCTGGCCAGCCCCTCTGGGCATGGCAGGCGCCACCCTGGCTGGGGCCGCAGGCTCTCCTCCTGCCCAGGCCTGCCTGCTCCTGCCAGTCCCCAGGACAGCTCTCCGCCCGTGGAGCTAGGCCGGGCGGGCTCTGCCCTTGGCCTAGGCAGCGGAGGCTGCCCCTGCCCCGGCGGCGAGCCCGTGGAGGGCGGCCGGGCGCGGCTCCGACTGGGACCGCACGGGAAACAGACAGGAGCCCAGGCGGGACTAGAGCCAACTCTTGCGCTTGAGCCTCAGCATGCGGACGCCCAAGGCGGCAGGGCCGCTCGTCCATGCGGTGGACTGGAGCGAGGCCGCACGGGCCGCTGGAGCCCAGCCCAGTGGTCGCGGAGCCGCTCGGCGCTGCCATCTGTAGCGGCAGGCCGGGTGCGGCACAGCCCACACCTTAGGGGCCGGCCCCGCCTCGTGGCGCTCGGGCGCTTGCTCCCCCCGCCGGGCAGCTCCACCGACCACCGACCGCCGCACCGTGCGTGGGTGCCTGGGCCGGCCCCGCCTCGTGGCGCTCGCTCCCCCCGCCGGGCAGCTCCACCGACCACCGACCGCAGCACCGTGCGTGGGTGCCTGGCCCCGCATGCCGCCTGCCTCCGCGCTGTGGCCCTCCCGCGTGTCCCGGCCCTGGCCCTCCCGCGCAGGACGCCGCCACGACATTCCCGGAAAGCGCCGGGCCCTCACCGTCCCCCTTCCGAGGGCAGCGGGTGAGCCGGGTGGGCCTTGTCCCCTGCGACCGGGCCACCAAAGAGGCAGGCCCGGCGGGAGCCCAGGCCTGGGTGCGGCCGGCTTCGCCTGGGCAACACGCGCCTTGAGGAGCCGCTTTTCTCAGTGCCGGTCTTCCCTCCACCTCCGACCGAGAGCGCCTCAACAGCACCGCCTGGTCCTCTCCTTCCACTCCCCCTCCCTCCCCCTCCTCACCCTGCCCTTTCCCACACGTGCCCTGCCAGGGAGGGGGCGTCAGCAGCATCCTGCTCGCTCCTGCTTGCTGCCCGGCCCCTCTCCCGTAACGGCCCTCCCTGGACAGTTAAGGTCCTGGCCCAGGGCCAGCCAGAGGCAGCACACCGGCCTGGCCCCTGCGCCCCTCTGACCCAGGGCTCCCAAGTCACTGCTGCACCCAGGCCCGGGGCCAGGGACACAGCGTCCTGCAGGCACTCCAAGGTCGCCCCAGGCCGTCCCCAGCTGCCGGTGAGGGAGCTGCTGGCAGGGCGCATCTCTGGGGCGCCTGGGGAACCCGTCAACACCCAGCACCACACCCCTGCGCCCTCCCGGGCCTGTGTCCACGGGTGGGGGACGTGCCTGTCCCGCCCCCACTTCCCAGCCCCCAGGAGAGGCTGGGCCACCCCAGGCACAGGGCAGAGACCGGAGGGGCCAGGCCAGGAACACACGTGTCCACGCCGTGCTGCACTCTGGAGGGTCTCTGGCACCATCCTGTCTGGTGAGGCCCCCGAGGGGACACCTGCACCTCTGAGGGACCCCCCAGGAGAGCCTCAAGGGGCCCCACACGCGGCCACCAGGGCCCCTGCTCGGTCTCCCGGGGAGGCCCGGGCCCAGGTGGTGTGTAGGCCGAGGCAGAGGCCTGAGTGAGCAGCGGCCGTCCGGGGCCAGCCGCGCAGCCCAAGGCCACCGCCCTGGGGCGGGGTGGACGGCCTCGGTCTCGTCCCACACGGCAGCCCCGTCAGAGCTCGGGGACAGAGACAGCAGCAGGGCCCAGACAGTGCCACGGTGACCCCTGGGGTCCCCAGGAACGGTGTCAGGTGGATGCCACTCCTCCCTCGGGGACGCCCCCACCCCTCCCGCGGGTGGCACGCTACCTTGTTGAGCTCCTCGATCCTACGGATCAGGTACGGGTTGCTGGAGGAGTTCTCGAAGTAGACGTAGTCTGCAAACAGAGAGCGCGTCAGCCTGCAGCGCTGGTGCTGCACCCCGACCCCGCAGCCCGCCCCGCACCAGGCCGGCTGGCCGCACCCTGGGGCAGGGAGCGGAGGGCCTGGGGCAGGTGAAGCCCCCACACCGGAGGGTCTGAGACCCAAACCCACGATGCTGGCGCTGCTGGAGCCCGGGGACCCTCCCCACAGGCAGGCCCAGGGCCACGTGCCCCCCAGGACAGGAACGGCAGCGGTCGGGCGGCGCACTCTAGCAATTACCGGGTCACCCTCATCAGAGCCCGGGGACACCAGGAGCCCGAGGGGACCGTGGTGACCCTGCAGGGGCCCCCGAGACTGGCCACCACGTGGATACACTCTTCCCTCAGGGACAAGACCGCACAGCTCCAGCCTCCTCACCAGGCAGAGCTGCCGAATTTTCCAGAGCCCAGAAGGTCGCCCTGAGGGCCCAGGGAAGTTCAGGCTGGGGCCACGCCCTCCCCACCCCAACCTGCGCCCGCTCTGCAGACACGGCGGGGCAAGAGGCCACCGGAAGGATCGGCCCAAATGCCCACAGTGGGTACAGGCCTGGCAAACTGCAGCCCGCACAGCGCCCAGGCCAGCCCATCTCTGCCCAGACAGAGGTCACGTCCGCACTGCTGGGGGCTTGTGGAAGAGCCTGGAGACCCACTCCCTCCTGGTGGCACACACCTGCAGACATGCCCCATGAGGACACACCTGCAGACATACACCCAAGAGGACGCACCTGTGAGGACGCACCTGTGAGGACACACCTGCAGACATACGCCATGAGGACGCACCTGTGAGGACACACCTGCAGACATACGCCATGAGGACGTACCTGTGAGGACACACCTGCAGACGTACACCCAAGAGGACATACCTGTGAGGACACACCTGCAGACATACACCATGAGGACACACCTGTGAGGACACACCTGCAGACGTACACCCAAGAGGACACACCTGTGAGGACACACCTGCAGACGTACACCCAAGAGGACACACCTGTGAGGACACACCTGCAGACATACGCCATGAGGACGCACCTGTGAGGACACACCTGCAGACATACACCCAAGAGGACACACCTGTGAGGACACACCTATGAGGACACACCTGCAGACATACACCCAAGAGGACGCACCTGTGAGGACACACCTGCAGACATACGCCATGAGGACGCACCTGTGAGGACACACCTGCAGACATACGCCATGAGGACGCACCTGTGAGGACACACCTGCAGACATACACCCAAGAGGACGCACCTGTGAGGACACACCTGCAGACATACACCCAAGAGGACGCACCTGTGAGGACACACCTGCAGACATACACCATGAGGATGCACCTGTGAGGACACACCTGCAGACGTACACCCAAGAGGACACACCTGTGAGGACACACCTGCAGACATACACCATGAGGACGCACCTGTGAGGACACACCTGCAGACATACACCCAAGAGGACGCACCTGTGAGGACACACCTGCAGACATACGCCATCAGGACGCACCTGCTGACATACCCAAGAAGACACACCTATGAGGACGCACCTGTGAGGACACACCTGCAAGCAGGTACCAGGCTGAGCACATATGTGCAATGCACACCTATGCACACTGCTCCCTCAGCTCACCGGGGCTGCCCCAACAGCACAGCTGGGTCAGACAGGGCTGTGCCGCCACACAGTGCCATGGTGACATTAAAAACCCACGGGGACACAGCCACAGCCTCAGAGGGCCGTGGGCAGCACGGCGCGGCTGGCGGGAGGGAGGGCTGCAGGAAGTGGGACCGCGCGAGGTCCTTGCCAGGGTGACGGAAATGATCTCAACTTAGCCTGTGGCCAAGCGTGTCCAGCTGTGGGAAAACACTAAAACCTGCTGAACTGCACACACAAAACCGGTGAATTCTATCACATGTAGATATTTCAATGAAGCAAATTTTAAAACAAAAAGTCTAAATATCAATAACCTAAGCTTTTACTCCAAGAAACTAGATAAAGAGCAAATTAAACCCAAATCAATTATTTGAACTTGCCAAAAACTGGGGAAAAACCAACTGTCCCCATGTCAGGGAACAGACAAGCCCCCACACAATCTGGGGGGTCCATCCGTTTCATGGAAGAGCCCCGACAGCGGCCAGGAATGAAGTCCCGCAGCGGCCTGGGGACGTGGCGGCCAGCTGTTCTGCATCACGATCCTGGCGGCAGCAACGCGACTGTATGTTTCAGTTTTGCCAAAACCCACAGAACTGTGCGCTTAAAAGGAGTGAGTTGTGCTGAATGTAAATTGTGCTTTAATAAATGGATAAATAAACAAAGCAAGAAGTCAGTAAATAGTAAGGTGCAAAAATCAGCCTGGCGTGGTGGCTCACACCTGTAATCACAGCACTTTGGGAGGCTGAGGTGGGGAGGTCACTAGACGCCATGAGTTTGAGACCAGCCTGGGCACTGTAGCAAGACCCCATCTCTTAAAAAAAAAAAACCCAAACAAACAAATTAGCCAGGCATGGTGGTGTGCACCTGTAGTCCAACTCCTGTGGAGGGTGAGGCGGGAGAATCACTTGAGCCCAGGAGTTGGAGGCTGCAGGGAGCTATGATCATGCCACTGTACTCCAGCCTGGGCTACAGAGCGAGACTCTGTCTCTAAAAAAGTCAATTAATTTAAAAAATAAATCAAGAGCAAAAATCAATCTGAAAACAGAAAAATAACAGAGAAACAAAAATCAAAGGAACCAAAATCTGATTACTTGTAAGATCGATTGATAAATCCACAGCCAGACTAATCAAGCTAACGGAGGTGGCACCGACGGCCAGCGTGGGGACGGGGTGGGGGGCGCTGCAGAGTCCCGGGCACGAGGTCCCCGCGAGCTCAAGCCGGTGAGCCCACGGCTCAGACAAAACGGACCGGTCGACGGACAGACAGGCGCTAGTCAGTGGCGCTCCGGGGGAACAGGCCCCGCACACACCAAGGAAGCCGAGCCTCAACAGCAAAGGCTCCGGACCCAGGCGGCTTTGCTGGCGGGTTGTGCCCAGCAGCGAGGGAGAATCCGCGCGATCCGGGATCCGGAGCCGGCTGCTCCAGAGCCCAGGCGAGGAAACCCTCCCCACGCCCACCACAGCGAGGCCAGCACCGCGCCCACACCACCGCCAGGCGCCAGGCGAGGGCGGCACGAGATGTCACGCCGAGAGACACAGGCGGGCTTCTCTGCGGAGCGCCCGCGACCCAAACCCGGCGCCACGGAATGGCGTCGTGTCCATGGCGACCGGGGGACACGGGGCCGCTCCACACTCGCAGCTCAGCGTGGCTCTTCAAACCGGCATAAGGAGGAGCCGTGCCGTCTCAACAGGCGACGCCCACACACACCCGGCTGGAACCGGATCTGCGGGGCCAGGGAGGCAGGGCCACCTCCCGCCCGCCCGGCGCGGCCCCTTTCCTCGTTGGTGGACGCCCTGGCGGCGGCGTGGAGCAGGCGCTTCCTCCGGCCTCTCCTCTACTGCTGGAGTCCCGGCCAGCGAGGTCAGGAGATGGAATTATCGACAATGGCGGCAGGCACACGGACTGGGAAGGGGTGGCCGCTCCCCCGTGCAGAGAACGCCCCATCTCCACAGAAAGCCCCACGGCTGCCGAGATCAGCGCTCAGAGCTCGGCAGGCGCGCGGGACGCCGAGGCCCACAGATAAAGGCCAGCGCCGTCTCTATGCACGACTCACAAACACCTGGGAATCAAAACGCCAAAAGTACCATTTATAACAGCCCCGAGAGAAATTGAGTATTTAAGCGTAAATTTTATGAGAGATCTATAGATCTTTAAGGATTAAAAGATCTGTGCAAAGATTTACACGCTGGAAACCACTAACGTAACACACCGGTGAGAAAAACCGACGAAGATCTAAGTAAGTGGCAACGCGGAAGGTGTCGCGGCTAAAACACACGTCAACAAACTTCGTCCAGGCCCCGAGAGGAAGCGGCTCAGGCTGTGCCGGCCAGGAGGCCCAACCAAGGACGTGGTGCAGGTGCCGATGCAACTAGCATAGCACAGTTCCACAAAGTCTTTACCAATAAAATTAAAAATAATGGAGCACAATTGTCCACAATACAGATGTACTAATGAATGAGAAGACCTGAACTCTGTTTTGGGGGTGACAGCCCAACTGGGGTTCAAAGTCCGTGCTGCCTATCATCGAAATCACCTGCAAATGTTCTCCTCCTAGCGCGGCCTTGCAGTGACGTCTTGCGTGTTTATCTTTACACATCTTTCTGCACACACATGTACTGCCAAATGCTGACCTGGATCGACAAGTGTATGTCGATCCACATACAAGTGTATGTGAACATACCCATAGCTGGGTATGTTCATTACTTAGAAGGTAGTCACAGCGCCAGGCTAGCAGTCACGGCACCATGCCGGCAGTCACGGTGCCACGCCAGCAATCATGGCACCACACCTGCGGTCACAGCGCTAGGCTAGTAGTCACAGCGCTAGGCCAGCAGTCACGGCGCTAGGCCTGTAGTCACGGCGCTAGGCCAGTAGTCACGGCGCTAGGCCAGTAGTCACGGCGCTAGGCCTGCAGTCACGGCGCTAGGCCAGCAGTCACGGCGCTAGGCCAGCAGTCACGGCGCTAGGCC